TTCAGTTTAACTTCCGCCTAGGCTCCATTTGATAAAGTCAGCTGTGTGCGGTGCAAATGCGGACTAAATGTTTTTGCCTTTAAATTGCCCAACAACATTCTTGAGGGTTATTTGATTACTTATTAAATGTATGTATGAAATAATAAATTAATGAGTGTCTCTTTTTTTAACTCCACAGAAAATTAAGAAATTAATATGGACATTTTTTTGTTAATTTAATTAAACTTCTCAAAATAAGGGAAGTTGGCAGTATAGATAAGAAAAAAACTGTGTGGGGAAAATGTGTAATTCTCACAAATAGTATTTTTATTGCAATGTTTATTAATAACAATGCCAATGCTTTGTGACCTATGTTTGACTTGTGGGCATAAATAATAAAACAGGTATATTTAAAAAGAAAAAATCTACATTTGCATAGTAGATACAGAAAGTGCAAAAAGGTGGAGAATAAAATCTAGAAATACAATTATTTAGATCAGGGGTCTTCAACGTTTTCCAGGCCAAGGATCCCCAAACTGATGGCGAGATGGAGCGGGGACTCCCAAATTATATATATTGTATGAAATTGTGTTGTATCAAACTGGTCCTATTGTCGCTCTATTACAGACGGTAATTTAAGTAATTTAAAGTAATTTGGGATTAATAAAGTACTTCTGTTTCTGAATTCTAATTGATGGAACGGGTGTTGTGAATGAAAAGGTGCCCAGCTTGAAAGAGCTCCTGTGTGTCGCTTTCATTGATGACTGAAAGACATCTTCTGCCTCCATTTATCTGTTTACTACAGTGTGCTGAATTCATGTTAATGTGTATTTAAAGACTTTTCAATTAGTGGAAATAACTGCAGGGGGAATATAAAAAAAACTTTCGCGACCCCATGCAGTACCTCCGTGGACCCCTAGGGGTCGCGGACCCCCTGTTGAAGACCTCCTATTTATATTATTCACTCATAAGACTCCTATTCATTTTATTGAACGATTTAAAGGCAGTCCCCCACGCCCCACCCCCTTCCTTCATGAACCTTTTCACTATGAATGGGTAAAAACCTCTGAATCAGACAAGAAAATAAACTTTACAAATGTTTGCAGGTATCATGTTAAGCACTAATTTTATGTCATAAAGCTTTTCGGAAAACATGTGACGCAACTAATTCTATTTTTTGTAATCATGTAATTATTGTGTAATAATCCACCCAGCTGTATTTTTAGATCATAACAGTAAAAAAAAAAAAAACACAGCAGCGCCTTTAGGACTTACATCTGATGGTGTGGAAAGAAGATTTTGGCCTCTTCTCGAAGCTCTCTCCTAGCTTCAAAACATGCTCTTCTTTATCCAGCAGCGGATTCGTACTCCCATTCATGGTCGAGTTTGGTTTAAATAAGTAAAAAACTTACATTTGCGTTAAATATTTCGAGGCGCCGGGTTAGGTCTGGCTACTTTAGCAAGGTTGAACAGAGAATCCAAATAAAGAAAAAGTTAGCCTGCGGATGCTAACAATTAGCAAAACAACAGCTCACTTCCTGTTTTGGGTCGAGTCTAAATTTAGTACGAAAGTTGCTTTTTGGAATTTTTTATTGATTAACGTGATTAAAGGCTTAATAATTGCACGATTTTATGTAATATTATTGTTTTCTTTTATATATTTTTATTTTTTTAATAGTGAGACGGAAGTATCGTTACGTTTTGACGTCACGGGTGAGAGATAAAATAACAAACAAGATGGCGCCCAACAGTGAAAATTAGAAATCCAGCACAGTCTATTTAGATTATTATAGGGATGACATTAATGTTTGGTTATGTTGGGTTCAACTTCCAGCACATGAAGGTGTAAAAGACAATGAAAAAGCAGATACATTAGCAAAAGGGGCTTTAGAGGGAATAATAATGATTACAATTCCTTTTGGTAAAGGGGAAGTTAAATCACTTATTAAGAGTAAAGAAATGGCAATATTGCAAAAGAGGTGGAATAAAAATAAGAAAGGAATAGGATTATATAAGGTAAAAAATAAATCAGTATTTAATAGAATCATTAATGAGAGAAACAGAAGGGAAAGGGTAATAATGGTACCCATTTAAATGACAATTTATATTTAATAGGGAGGAAAAATAATGATAAATGTGAAGGATGTGGAGAAAAAGAAAATGTAGAACACGTACTAATCAACTGTAAAACTTATGAACATGAAAGGGAGAAATTGAGAAGAATGGTTTGAAGGACACGTAAAGAATGGAGTCTGAAATCAATATTGGGAAATGAAGGACATATAAAGGATATTCACTGATTAAGGAAATCGTTATTTATTTATCTACATAATACAAAATAAAAAAATATATAATTTGATATATAGTAATGTTGCTACAAACTCATGTACAGTAGGTGGCAGTATGCACCTTAAAGTTGCTTACAGTACGATCCGCCATAATAGAAAAGAAGAAGAAGAACAGCAGCGGCCGCAGCAGCAGAAGAAGAAGAAGAACAGCGGAATAATGTAGCTATTAGTATTTGTTGTTTTATGTGTAGAATGTTAGTTTTTTTAATTTAAATTAAAATATAGAGAGCCAACCAAGTTGCTCTGTATAATGTCACTGACAGCAACTGATAAGAATGAAGTTGAATCTTCAGAAACTTTATCAGCGGCTTCCAAAGATGAAGCATTTCCATCTGGACACACAAGTTCCACAGCCAGACATTTATCTCAGGAGGAGCTGGACAGACTGAACAACGAGCGAGCTTTGGTGTCCGACTTCAAACAGATGAAACTGGAAAAAGAAGCTCAAAAAAACTGGGACTTGTTTTACAAAAGAAATACGACGAATTTCTTCAAAGACAGACACTGGACCACGAGGGAGTTTGAGGAGCTTAGAGCATGTAGAGAGGTGAGCAGACAGATTATTCTGTAAAAGTACAACACTTTTACATTTCTGAAGGCTATGGGAGAGTAAAGTTACAAGGAAACTAAAGGATGAAAATGTTACTACACTGCGAACAATAGAAATCTAACTAAGTCATTGTTTTTATTAAAATAAGTGCATTTTTTTCTTGAATTGAGGACACTTTGCCAATGGAACAAGACATTTTACATTTAGAATGAGAAAAAAAGACATTTCATTGTCTTATTTCAAGTGCTTATTATCTAATTATCTTACTTAAGAGTAACAATACTCATTCTATTGGAAAAACTATGTATTTACCTACTCAAATTAAGGGTAAATACACTTAGATTTAGACATTTATACTTATTTCTAGATAGTTTTTGCAGTTTACAGACTTAAAAACAGCAATCTTTCTAGTTCAAAGGGATTAAATTGGATCCAATTAATCAAGTAAATAAAATATTTTTGTTCACCTGACCAAAAGGTCAGAAATTATGAAACACTTAGAGCGATGTTGACATAATGTCAAGGTGTGAAGCAGAGGCGTAGCCAGAACATTTTAATAGGGATGGCCAAACCTATGTAAACTGAGGGGTGGCCGAAAGCGGATAAGCGCCAGAACCTCAGGGTCCATCTACACAGCACAAAATCCATATTTGCTAAATAAAGACAAACTATACTTTACTACAGCCTTTTAATTACAAATAGATGCATATATTTAAACATCCATGCTGTCTAAAAGGTATAGTGGAAAATTAAAATGTTTAATAAGTTTAAACATTCCTCTTGATAGTATTACTGCTGCCACCGTCTGTATTAGAGGGCGAAAAAAATGGTGGGGCGACAGGGGGGCACAGAGGTGGTCAATGATTGACTAAGGGTGGCCATGGTCACCTCTGGCCCCCCGTCTAGCTCCGCTCCTGGTGTGAAGACATCAGCAATAAACCTACTAGAGGCAAATTATGTTGCTTGTTAATTGGAGAAACATTTTAGACTTCTGCCTCCAAAAGAAGCAGATGTCTGAAATTAACTGACCAAAAAAAGGGGCGAGGCTCCAATGTTGAATGTTTCATATTTAAATGTTATTTTTCATGTCAGGACATCATAAAATGATGAAGCTAGGGGTTTGGAGGACTTTAATTTCCACTTAAGAATGGCATATGTTTCATATGTTTGCATATGTTTCCAAATGAAGCTGTAAAATAAATCAGACTTCTGGAATAGGACAGGTGAGAGCAAGATAAACTTTTGTTTGACAGAGGTTTGTGTATTTTTTTCTGTTTTTTTTTTTACAGTTTGAGTCCCAGAAGCTGGTTCTCCTGGAGGCTGGCTGTGGAGTAGGAAACTGCATCTTCCCTCTATTAGAGGAAGACCTGAACATCTTTGTTTATGCATGTGATTTCTCACCCCGCGCTGTTGAGTTTGTGAAAGTAAGATTTCAACCTGTTTGTCTTTGTTGTTTACAGACGCTTAAGATATTTAGCCATTCTTTAATGCAAAGTTTGCAAAAATTGACAGAAGTGTTTGAAAGAAGTCAGGCTTTCTGTTGTGGTTCGTGTCTTTCTAACAGAAATTATAACAAAGGAACAATATAATTATTACAACCAGTAGTCTTAGTGGTTGTGATCAGTGAAAGTTTTGTTCTGTTTTGTTGAGACAGAAAAATCCTCTCTTCCGGCCTGAGCGCTGCTGTGCCTTCCAGTGTGATTTAACAAAAGACGATCTGACAGAAAATGTTCCAGAGGGCAGCGTGGACGTCGTCACTCTCATCTTTGTCCTGTCGGCTGTCCATCCTGATAAGATGAAGCTGGCATTGCAGAACATTGGCATGGTAAGAGCAGAGATGGCAAAACGAGCGTTGTTTTTGGTTACTCTGGAAACATTTTAGTTGCTCAGAAAACTGCACAATGCTTTCATGTCTCACAATTACTACAAGAAAGGTTTATGGGTCTCATATAATTGAATATGCATGCAAAAGGAACAATTAGTGCTTGGAAGAACTGTGCACCTAATGCTGTGGCCTCTGCTCTCATCAGCCCCTCACAAACACTGAATTGCTTTATATGGTTATATGACATGCAGGGAAACTACAGATACTTCTTCCATTAAGCATCAATATACAAACAATAGTTTAATAAGATGAAAAAGAAAAAAAAAACACAGCACTAGAGATCATAAAATATATGTTAGTTACTATATTAATAACTGCATCATAAAATAGCAGGGCAGTAAAAGGGTCACACAGATATAGAGTAAAAAGTGTATAAATAACAAAATTAAGTGGAAAAATGTTACAAATGCTGCACAGAAAGAGCAAATATATTTTTTGAATATAAATACTGCATAGTCAACAATAAAGAATAAATAACCAACATATGCCACCGTTGTAACAGTTAAGTGGATATGAGAAATAGCAGCAACAGCAGAGATGTGCAATGACAGCAGCATGTTATTCAACATCAGCAGCAACATTTTACAGAGTGGAGAAAAAAAATATATGTTTGGCCTTTATCCCCCTACAGGTCCTACCTGAAGGGATCAGTCTGAACTGATATTAAGCTAGAAGCAGGAGTCTTTACAGATGTTTGTAGCTCTTCTGGTGCATGTGGTATTCTCCTCCAGGGAGGGTGGAGTTTGCTAATTAGCAGATCCCTGCTGCATTCAATTTCACTCAGACATCTTCTGTTTACACCTTTAGACACAGTTCAGATGACTTATGTGTTCTCTTTCCACAGTGTGACTAAATGCATGCATATTTTCCCATGTGATTGTTTTCTTTAATAATGTAATGATTGTCAATTTATAACATTTCCGTTTTAGTTTAATTTACATATACTATTTCAGCCTTTTTTTGAAGCATTGGATTTCTGGTGGGAACCTCTGTGTGTTTTCTGACTTTCATGCATTGGAGCTGTCTAAAATGCCCTTAATCTCCGCATCAGGTACTGAAGCCTGGCGGTGTCGTCCTGTTCAGGGACTATGGCCTGTATGATCACGCTATGCTCCGCTTTAAATCTGGCAGCAAGCTGGGGGACAACTTCTACGTTCGCCAGGATGGAACAAGGTCCTACTTCTTTTCTAAAGGTCAGTAAAGTTCATTTCTTGCATTCTGTTCAGCACCAAATTAAAATAAAGCATATTGAATACTTGTGTTTTTTTAGTTTAATGAATTTAACCCGATGCCTGTTATGTTGATGTCATTGGGATTATTCCCCAGTTTCATTCTTTTTTCTTTAACTATTGATGAGTTTTAGTGAAATTGAATCCATTAAAATATAATGGTCCATCAAACGTATAAACTAAGAGCTCCTTTTGGATTGTTATGGATTGTGATTGTTATATTTTGCAGCTCTATTGTTGATTAATAGTCACAATATGAACCTGGAGACAGAAATGTATGAAAACCAGAGAGCCTCAAAAGTCTAAAAAAGTTTGAATTTTTATTTTACTTTTTTTTATCTTTATAAGTAGTAAAAAAAAGAGAAGCAGGTATGTAATATTTTATTTCCTTAGTAACAGACAGACTCTGCTGGAATGTATTTTTTATTTCAATGCAGAACATGTATCTAAATTATGATATATTAAAGTGGCTGTGATTGTAAAACAGATTTTCTAATCCATCAGAAATATCACATACCTCAATATTGTTTTATTAAAGTCTCCCTCTGTCTCGTCTGTGTTCAGAGTTCCTGGCTGAGCTGTTTGAGGAGGCCGGCTTCCAGTCTGTGATTAATGAATATGTCCTGAGAGAGACGGTCAACAAGAAAGAAGGACTATGTGTTCCTAGAGTTTTCCTTCAGAGCAAGTTTATCAAACCACCACATTTCTAAAGCGATCTGGGACTGTTATCTCTCTTCTTAAAAGGAGAGAGCAAAGATGAGTGCTGAAAGTAAAACAATGAATGTCTGCTGAGCAAAACTGGGAATTAAAATCACTGACTCGGGTTGTTTTATGCTCCAACTTCAGTGTTTAAATTCTTTTTCCAGCTCATTGTTCATGAAGAGCATGGGAATTTTTTTTTAAATATTCTGTTTGTTTTCTATCATTTTGTCATTTTTTTTCTATCTCTGCCATTTATCTTATCAAAATAAAACGTAAAACCAGATTAAGTAGTTTCAGATTAGTCCTTTCTAATGGTCTCAGTATTTTATCATTGGTCAAAAATAATGTAACTTAAACAAATATAGAATTACATTGTCTATAATTTGTTTTTTTTATGGAACAATCACTGCAATGTCAGCTGGTTGCTATGCACCTTCATATTCATCAAAACCTGATGGAATCTTTGACAAAAATCTTGATTTATATGTTAATAAAATGCTAGATTGCCGTGAAACGTTTACATTTGTAATGGCACATTCTGGCCAGAAGAGTGTGCTGTTATTATGCGAAAGAATTAAATATAAAATTTTAAGTGTGGTCTGTCAGATTCTAGAAATAAAAACGCCTTTCTATATCTGCATTTCTACATATAATTTGCTTCAGTTTAACTGTGGCTTCATTCCAAAGAAGCATTTATTGACCTTCTCTGCCTTTGACTGAAACATTGAGGTAACAAACGTCACACTGAAGGAGCTTCATCCTAAAAAACAAAATGGAAATAAGATTTTATAATAAAAACACACTTTTATTCCAATTTCTCATCAAGTGGGAATGCTTATGCATTCCCACTTATTCTTTTTAACTCTCATTCTAGGTAATGTTTTTACTGATTTTACAGCAAAAAAAGACTGGCCAGTATACTTTCATGGAAGGACAACGGTTAAAAGTCATTTGTTGAAATGAGCTTCATTTTTCTCTTTCTATGTTTATGCATTTAGCAGACGCTTTTATCCAAAGCAGTCGTCCATAAAGAAAAAAAAACAACTGTTAAAATGCATTTTTTGGTGTTTATTTAGATGTTTCTCACTCTGAAGTTCTAAGAAGGGCAGCCGGATGAAGCAGTGTGGGGTCTCAGTAAAGCATTTCCATGATGATAAAATGTGGTTTCCTGTTCAGGAGCTCTGCTGTGAGGTTTCCAGTGCCACCTAACACAATGTTTTTTTTCTTTGACCAACTACTTTTAAGCAAGAACATCAATGTATAGCAGTTTTTAAAACGCAATTTGAACCACTCAGGTAACATCTCACATGGAAATTAAATGTTTTCTTCCTCTTGGATTCTTTTTTTTGTTTGTTTTTTGGAAACAAACAACTTAAGCAATTAAGAGTTTAAATGAACGCAAGTAAAGAAGGCTGAAGGAAGTAATGATGCATTCTTTCTTGTTCCTTACCTGCTTAAACCCCTTCAGAAAGCAATGGGGAAACTGACTTGTTTACCCTGGAGACGTAACATAAAAGCGCTGCTAATTTTCTGCACTATATATGCTGTTCTTTGGTCTTTGTGAGGAAAAAATTGAAAAATTACATATTCACCAGCACATTATATCTGTACACCTCAGCACATGAACAAAAACAAGAAAATTTTCTAGATATGATCATGCTGACCACCTAATTTAATCTGCTGTTTACATTTTGCACAAATCTTTCCTGAGATATTAACCTCTGATTAGATTATATTGAGCAAAAACTTAAATATTTGTATCATTTTTCAAATAGGCTTTAGAACAGTTAGAATATTCTGTAAAAGGACACGTAGCAAAGTGTCCTGCTTTGCAAAGCACCTGTAGCCATATCCTTTAACCAGTGCTTCAAAGTGAGACCCAGTAAGACATGCAGTTTCCTGTTGGTGGTTTGACTCGCATAACAGACCCGCAGCTTTCAAATTTGCTACTGAAACAAAACCAGTTGCAGTATGTATCTGTATGCTAAGAGCTAAGAAAGAAAATGAAGTTTTAAAAAAATAATTATCTGCTATAAAGGACAAAGAGGTGAGATTGAGTTATGAAAAAAAAATGTTGCAGCAAATTTTTTGTGTGCAACATTTGTTTATTTCCATTTATTGTGCTCACTAGTGTAGAGCTAATTCTATTTGCTGGGAGTTCCTCTGCCCTTCAACAGAAACATACATCCTGGAGTGTTGAATGTTTGAATTGCATTAAAAACATACTCTTGATGACCGGATATGAGAAATAAGCCTGTGTGAAGTCATGTAATCATGCTAATAAAACAATAACTTGTGTTTTATGAAATGGAGAATAGTTCATATGAACACCTTCAATTTGACCATTTAGTTTCAGTCAGAACCTTATCTATCAACACATTTGGCATCCTGATATCTATAAAATGTAAAAGTAATCCTAGCGCCGACATAAATAATTAATATATGCTGCTGAAGATTCTCAGTCATCCAGGTCACAGTCATTAAAAAAAAAAATAAAAAAAAAAAACCAATCCACTGGAATTTGTTTCCAAGAACCGTCTTCAAACTTGGAAACCAAGTCCAGTGGATTGTTTTTGTTTTTACTTTTCCGAATAATTAATATACAAGTTGAAGTAAAATGGCCTAACTTTCACTATTAATAATTGAATATGATATTTTATGTAATGGAATCATATAAAAAAAAACATGGACATATTAAACGTTGGCAATTTTTATTTATCTAATAGGTATTTTTCTCCTTTTTTAGGACAATTCCTGAAAGATTCAGCTTTATTTTTTATTCACACCTCAGGGTTGTGCTCAACCTCACATTTCTTCACAGTTTTTCTTTATTTAAGATCCTATTGGTTAAAAGTGACCCAATCATAGGAGTGATCCGAAGATTTTAAACACTCAGCTGACTAGAAAGTTTTCCAACTTATTTCCTCACATTCATTGAAAAAAAATTACGGAGCCCCTAAAGGGACATGGAGGGGGAAAAAAGAACTTTTGCGAAATCCTGCAATACTTTTGTGAGATCCCACAATACTTTTGCGAGATCCCGCAAAACTTTTGCGAGATCCCGCAATACTTTTGCGAGATCTCGCAATACTTTTGGGAGATCCCGCAATACTTTTGTGAGATCCCGCAATAGTTTTGCGAGATCTCGTAAAAGTATTTTGGGATCTCGCAAAAGTTTATTTTTTGCGAGATCTTGCAATACTTTTGCGAGATCCCGCAAAACTTTTGGGAGATCCCGCAATACTTTTGCGAGATCTTGCAATACATTTGTGAGATCCCGCAATACTTTTGCGAGATCTCGCAATACTTTTGTGAGATCCCGCAATACTTTTGTGAGATCCCGCAATAGTTTTGCGAGATCTCGTAAAAGTATTTCGGGATCTCGCAAAAGTTTATTTTTTGCGAGATCTTGCAATACTTTTGCGAGATCCCGCAATACTTTTGCGAGATCTTGCAATACTTTTGCGAGATCNTTGCAATACTTTTGCGAGATCCCGCAATAGTTTTGCAAGATCTCGCAAAAGTTTTGTGGAATCTCGCAATAGTATTGCAGGATCTCGCAAAAGTATTTCGGGATCTTGCAAAATTTTATTTTTTGCGAGATCTCGCAATACTTTTGCGAGATCCCACAATACTTTTGCGAGATCCCACAATACTTTTGCGAGATCTCGCAAAAGTTTATTTTGTCCCTTTAGGGGCTCCTTAAAAAAATAACAGCTTTGAAGCAAAAAAAGAAAAAGAAAAACATTCCCAAACTAACATTTCACCATAAATATCTGGAGCTCTCCTAAACACACAGTGTAACTTTCCTCACCTTAATGTGAAATTTGCATAAACTCTTAGCCGATATTGATTAAACTTTAAAGCATATTAAGCAATATGGGAATTAATAAAATATTACAAATTGAACAAATTACAAAAACCAAAAAATTTTAATAAGCACAAAATTATATCTTATTAGATGACTCAGTATAACATGTTCTGGTCCAGAGATCCATGATCATTTATTTCTCATCATTTTAATAGAAAAAAAAACAGCTCAGTTGAATGTTCTACCTGAAAGATACAAAAAAAGGAATTTGCGTGAACATGAATCATGAAATGTTTTAATTATGGTCAGCTGTGTAGAATTTATTGTTTTAAGTGAAATATTCTGAATTAATTTAAAAGTTTCTTAATTTACTTACCTTTGATATTGACTGTGATGAAATGCCCCATTGCTTGCTCTCCAGATTTACATGTAGCTTTGCACTGATATCTTCCGTTGTGTGGGGATTGCACACTCATAATCTCCGTCTCAACTTGTCTGCATCTCATGTTGCCGTAGGTGATTGTCTCGTTGACTGTGGTGAAGTACTGACTGGGGTCAGTCAGCTCGAAACTGTTTTCCCCTTCCTCTTTGATCTTATGCCACACCACGTGCACTATTCCACACTTTTTATAATCATAGTTTGCCTCACAGGATAGTTTGACTGTTGATCCTCTAACAGCAGTTATGGTCTTCTGAGGGTAAAGGACCTCAAGGTAATCTGCATTTACATGGGAAGAAAAAGCATTCATGATTAAAAGGTTTGTTCCTGGTTTTAGACTCATGTTTATCATCTTTAAGAAAATAAATTATGGCATGATCTATTTAGCGTTTGCCAGTACTGCCTTTGTACTTACTCCCTGCTTAGGAGCAGATATGATGAGAGATATGTAGGGTAAAAAAAAAAACAGTACTGGTAATTAAAAAGCAATAATGGAAGTGTTGCAGGCAATGTGGCACAGCTGACGGCGACCATGCACATGTTTGCTGGAACTGCATTGAGTTAAAACCTTTCTGGTCTTCTATCCACCTTACTCTGTGCAAAGTACTGTTGTATTCTGTACTAAAATATATCTGGATGTGAAATTTATGTGAAAAAATATGATCAATATTTGGTTAAGATATTACTGTCAGCTGGGAGAAAAGAAACAACAAGAAGATGGCTCAGTACTGAGCCACCCAGCCATACTCAGTGGATGGACAGTGTGGAGTAAATATTCACTGTGGAAAGAATGTATTTCATTTTAAGATTGAAAAAAGCTCAATTAACCCTGTAATGCCAAATGTATCATATTTGATACATACGGTTTCTGAAATGTTTTGCATAATTTAATGGTAAAAACTTTGCGCAACATCCTATTGTACACAATCAGATATACCTGATAACAGCCAGTAGAAGACTACACAGAAAATAATCTTGACTTATC